TGGTCTATTTAGAAACCCATAAAAATATAGTTATGTGGTCTATTCAGAAACCCATAAAAATATAGTTATGTGGTCTATTCAGAAACTCATAAAAATATAGTTATGTGGTCTATTCAGAAACCCATAAAAATATAGTTATGTAGTCTATTCAGAAACCCATAAAAATATAGTTATGTGGTCTATTCAGAAACCCATAAAAATATAGTTATGTGGTCTATTCAGAAACCCATAAAAATATAGTTATGTGGTCTATTCAGAAACCCATAAAAATATAGTTATGTGGTCTATTCAGAAACCCATAAAAATATAGTTATGTGGTCTATTCAGAAACCCATAAAAAGAGGATGATAAATCAAATGAAGCATAATGATATATGAGCAGATATTTCAAAAAAAACATGTATGCAAATGCCATAAAATGGATAAAAAAGACAAAAGAAAGTTAAAATGACAGTTGCTTGAACTCTCTTACAATGAAATAAAGTGTTTAAATACATCGTCTATCAAACAACTTCATGACTAAGATGATGTAATGTCATGACTAAGATGATGTAATGTCAGATAGAATTGTTGGGCAAAAACTTTGCCATGAATGGTACTAAGTGAGTATTCGAAGTATGTCATGTATGATGGTAGAGAAAAAAAACTTGATAAAACAAAACAAGACAAAGTTTACACGATTTCTTACTAGAATAAAGGTAATACTGATACTGAAGCTGTTGACTACAACATGAAAAAATTTCAGCTTCCCCTGATGTTGGACCAGGAGAGTTGATTTTTTTTTGAAGTGTAATATGTAACAAATTATAATATTACTTGTAATGAAGCTTTAAAAATAGATACTGCAAGTGATGAAACATACAAAACAGATACGGCATATGATGAAACTTGTATAAAGGTATTGCAAGTAATAAAACTTGAAGAAATAGTCATATCAAGTCAGGTATGCCTGGTATTAAAACATATATTTTTGTTTTACTTTTTTTTATAAATGTTTTTAGAGAAGAATAAAAGTATTTGACTTGGAATGACCTTTGCACAAGTGTTGTGACTTCCAAAATATTTTGATAGGTGGCTCTGGCTTATCTTCACGTGGTGTCTATTGTTACAAATGATTATTATAGTGTTCCATTTATGAAATTGAATATTTTAATTATTTACTAAAAGCCAAGAAAACTATTTAATCTTAGGATATCTAAAATGTTTTAATACAGAACAATATAAAATTGATTGTTACATTTTTTTTATAGGGTACAACACTGATATTTTTGGTAATGAAATAAAATATATTTAATGAAATATCAAAAAATGAAATATACAAATTTATTTTGTTTGTTAAAGATACAATTATTTTTAAGAATTCAACATCTTTTTATTGTAGGTTGTGGGTAACCATTACCACCCTAATCAACAAACTTCTCAACTTAACCAAAATTTACGAATAGCAGCGAAAAGACTTTTTTTTCAAAAGTAGGCTCGGTTGTGGTCTTTATCTTTAGCTTGTAGGTTATACTTGGTGCCAAAAGCCTAATTCAGGTTTTAAATTGTTAACTCATTTTAAAATAATTATAATTGTTTTTATAAAGATTTATTTATTTTACTTATTTTTATTTTTAGGTTGGGGGGGGGACACGCTCCTCCCACAAGTCTATAAACACACCACCAATAAATGAAATTCTTGTAGCAAAAAAAAAATTCATGTTTTTTATACTAGTTTCACTTATTTTATTAAATATAGAAATATTTATTTATTTATAATTAGAGAATTGAATATTTTTGAAATTAGGGTGTGTTAAACCATCACCACCATATCCATCATCAATTTTAATAAATATCAATCATTGATGGTTTGGAATAAAATTATAGCAACTTTTTGTATAAAAAAAATAACCGTTTGTTGAAAAAAAACACTTTTTATTGAAAGAAATATGCTTATTTTTAGGGTAAAGGTGGTGGTTCGGCACCCCCTCTAGCCCCCAGGAAACGCTTAATAGGTGGACGATGTTATAAATTTGTAGCCCACAGTTACACCTATCTTTTGATACTAAGTTATAGGTATTTAGATAAGAATTGACAAATTTATAACAATTTAAGTGAAGAAAAATTAAATTTTGACCACAGTTTCTTCAACAAATCCATATATCAAAAATTTGCGACTAAAAACGTCATAACTTTTTGTAGAATAGTCCGATTTTAATAATTTTTTCACCTTTAAAATACTGTATTGAAGCACTTTCCAATGATATATAACAATCTAACCTTTGATCAATTTAAAATTTTCAATCCACATACCTATATATATATATATATATATATATATATATATATATATATATATATATATATATATATATATATATATATATATATATATATATATATATATATATATATATATATATACATTAGACTTACTGTATTGAATTATCTTTGATATCATTAACATTAATGGTATGATTATCAACATTATTGTTCCTAAATATATATATATATAAATATATATATATATATATATATATATATATATATATATATATATGTATATATATATATATATATATATATATATATAATATATATATATATATATATATATATATATATATATATATATATATATATATATATATATATATATTTAGGAACAATGTTGATAACTATATCGTTAATGTTAACAATAATATCACCAATAATTCAATACAGTAAATCTAATTTAAATACATTACAATGACATACTTTACAATTACTTTTACAATATCATATATTGATGTAAATGTTTTGGTTTACTTTTTGTGACAATAATATCTTTATGGTTTTAAAAACATTGTTGAAAAGTGTCAAATCAATCCTAACACCATGGTAAACAATATATTATAAAGTTTTTAAAATTGAATATAAGTAATCTTGCTGCTAAACAAAAGACAATTAAAATACTTCAGCAATCCAACTATTGTTTAATAAAAAGGATAAAAGACTTACATTCATACCTTTGTCATTTTAAATCAAAAAGTATGAATCATATGATGAATCAAAATCATGAATTATACTATGATTTCTGAAGCAGTATCAATTACACTAATGGTATAATATATATTTTTATTAAGAGTAGTTGTTGAACATATTTTATTTTATTTTTCTATTTAATTATTTTAAATATTTGTTCCTTATTTCTTATTAAGTTATACCTTTAGAATTATTTTGTTTTAGTCAACCTACTGTTAAAATATGGTTTTAAATTAGTAAGTTTTTATGATTAAAAACTTATTACATTAATCATCAGATAACAGTTAAGGAAAATTTTAATTCATCACAATTACGGTAAGAATAGCAATAAGTTAATTATTGTGTTTGTCGTAACAGTAATAATTGTTGTTATGATTGTAATGCTATTGTGATAATTTCATCTATTTCTTGATACCCCAATCAACGATGCCCTATTTTACTTGATTGGGTTTTCAAGTATAAATATGGTGTTGTAACTAAAAATGTATTTATTTAATCTATTTAATTTTAGGGAGCTATGTCTGAGTCTACAAAACAGTTATTTTGTCGGATTTTACAAGAAAAGTTAAAAAGTATTACCCACCAAAATTATGAAGCTACAACACAGAGTTGTTAGTCCTAGGCCTTGACCTTTACTTAAGGTCTTGGTCTTAAAACTGTTGGTCTTGGTCTTGGTCTTCAAAAAAAGTACATAAAATTGAAGAATTAAAAGATTTCATTCTTTATTTTTATGTATTTTTGTTTTTTGGCTTCATACATATCTACAAATATGTTTTTTATTGACTTCATAGAATTTTGGACATAACCCTGTTTATTTTTACAACATGTGGTTTATTGTCACAGGAATTGTTACCTACAGTTTTATTAATAATTGACCTTAACGTTAGACAAAAATTCAAGTCTTTGGGCTTAAAAATGTTTTTATTCTTAACCTTAACTTTAAAATCCCTGGCTTTGACCTTGTAACTTTTGGCATTGGTCTTGGCTTTAGCCTTGTAACATGTGGCTTTGGCCATGTCCTTGCTACTTTTGGCGTTGCTAATTTTGGCCTTGTTAACAACCTTGCTTTAACATTAAATTTTTATTCTGCTTAAGCATATAGTTATGTTAGGAAAACATTTAGTAATGCACTTCTTCATCCTGGAATTATACAAAATAGCATAAAAGTGTTGACTGTTTCCCTGGATTTTGTAAAGAAGCTTTAGTTACTCTTCATAGCAAAATAAAAGAGGCTCAGAAAATTGGTCAACATATTGTGTGTTCATCTATGTTAGATGAAATAGCCATTTGAAAAAAAATTGAATGGACAGGCCATAAATTTTCTGGTTATATTGATTTTTGTGGTGATATCAATAATAATAGTTAATCCAAAACAAAAGAAACTTTAGTTTTTATGGTAAACTGTATAAATGGACGTTGGAAACTTCCTGATGTATAATTTTTAGTTAATAGTTTAGATGGTTGTGAAAAAACTAATATTGTTAAGCGTTGTCTGTAATTTATTTATGAAAGTGGTGAAGAAATTATAAAACTAATATTGCTTAGTATTTGAAGATAAAATTGCACCACAAAACTGACTCGATCAACAATTTACTACATAATAAACGTATACAAAATGTATTAACAAAGCAAATTTAATTTTCGAATCAATAAAAAGTTGTTTTGTATATTAATGTAATGGATAATAAAATACATAAAATTGTATTAACTGTTACGTTTTCTAATCTCTAAGAATTCTAAAAATGCATTAAAATAATAATTGATACAAATGATAAATTTAATAATATTTAAAAAATAATAATAATAGTAATAAGGTTTACTACAAAATTATACATTTAATAAAAAGTTTTCTATTCTTAAGTCTTTATTTCGCTTGAATCGCGTTTTGTTTTGCCCAAACGTGACGTCACGCGCTAAAAGATGTTGGCTTCAAAATATTTAACCCTTTGAGCACGAGGAGCCACGATCGTCGCTATACCGTCAGAGCACGTGGAGCCACGATCGTGGCTTTAAAAGTGTTCATCAGAACTATGACTTTTTCTACAGAAATACCGCTGTTCATAATTTAAAAATGGTACCATTGAATAGAGCACATTTTTTTCTATCTTTTGGTATATTGTTTGTGTATATTTTGTATTAAAGATGAGTGACAGCGAAGAAAGTTTTACTGAAGAAGAAAGTTGTACAAGCGAAGAATATTTAAGTAGCAGTGATGATAGTTTATTGATGAAGGCACAATATTTTTTATTGAAAAATTGTATACAAATTTATTTAATTTAAATATATCACCAAATCTAAGCATTTGAAGTTTTTATTTTTATGTAGAATCCGGTTCTGATGACAAAGCTGGTGTTGATGATGTTTTAGATTTGTGGCTTCCTGTTGTAGGAGATGACAATGGCCCTAATGTTTTTGCTTTTACTGGTGTACCAGGACCCAAACATACTATTTCACCAGAATCAAAGCCCATTGATTATGTTGAATTATTTTTCACTATAGAGTTTTTGAAAAAGTTAGTAACTTATACCAACCAGTATGCTGATGCATGGATACAAAGTAACCAACAGCATTTGAGATCTCATCCATTGTCGATAGGTCATGTATGCAGGGCCGCCGCGTGGGGGGGGGGGTCACTGGGTACTTTTTACCTGGGCGCAGGATCATAAGGGGCGCTCAAATGATAATTTAAAAAAAAAAAAATAGATACACAGGGCTTCAATGAAAAACTTTTCAAACTGCTAATTTTAAAATATAAGTTTCAAATGTATTGTTAACTTAAGGTGGTAGACCACTATTAAAATAAAATCCTTCAAAAATTATATTTTACAAATTATTTTTTTATAAGTTAATTAAAATTCACATTTTAATCACAAATCTTTTTTTTTTTTTTAATTAACCGGTTTGAGAAATTTTGGTCCCGGAAACCCCAAAATAGGGTCATTTCGTTGCGGTAAATATCTCAAAAACTATTCATGGTATCAACTTGAAATTTTTCAGACATGCTTATAACATATTAAAGAAGATCCTGTACCAAAACGAAAAAAAAACATCGACCAGTTTTTTTTAAATAAGAAAAACACTTCAAAAACAAAAAAAGAGGCATTTTTGACCATATTAGGACTTAAATATCTTTTTATCTAATTATCATAATGCAATAAAAGAGGTAGGGGACATCTGTAATAACAATAGGAACAACTCCTGAAAATTTCATAGAAATTTGTTGAGAAAATAAAGAGATATTTACCGCAGAGTCGTGAATTTTAAAGAACTGAGAAAAACACATTTAAACACAAAAAACCATAAAATTCTTCAAATAAAAATAAAAAACACAGAAAAAAAAGCCTACAAACAAATATTATCTTATTATAAAAGTGTTGTGGAGTAAAACTAAAGCAAAATTAAAATAAAATTTTTTGAAAAAAGTGATAGTATTATAAAACAATACTATTATCCAAGTAATACTTCAATTTGAAAAAAAAAAAAATTCTTTTTATTTGCAATTTAGTTTCAATTTTTACTCTTACCAACTTAATGTAAATATCTGTTTGTAATAAATAAACAAAAAGTAAATATATATTAAAATTCTCCTGCACCATAACATAAACTCTCTTCTTCCTCATCTTTGTCCAAAAATCCTTTACGAATACTCCGTAACTGCTTTCGCCTGCTTTTTGTTTTTTTTTTACATTTTTTTTTTCATATTTTTAACTCTTTTCAAATCAGAAGATGCAAAAAAACTTGAAGAATAGTGTCCTGGTTTTAAATAAAGTTTTTCAAAAACTCTAATAATACCATTAATCCAGCCGATCCATTGTGATCAATCGAGCAAACATGATTGTCTTTAAACGCCATATATTTTGGTGAATCTTGGTGTGCATTCCATTACTCACAAGGTTTGCACTTCTTAGAAAGTATGCGATAATCTATACATTTTCCATTTGTTTTGCTTATTATAGCAATAAATCCATTTAGTGATGAGTATCCTCTCTTTTGCCAAGCTCCGTCCCCTGAAATTTCCTTATCAACTACTGTACAATCATAATTTTTTTTCAAACTAATTATTCTTACTTCTTTAGCATTCATGCTAGCTTCGGCAATGTAATTGTAAGAGTTGGCAACTTCTTCACTTAATGAGTTAAAAGAAGATTTGTTCATAGGATCAGGCATATTCATTAAACCGCAGAATTTTTTTTATACTAGAGTATCCTTTACCTATTTCTCGAAAAGCTAATATAATTCTTAAATTAATGTCAAAAGTTTTTGGACCGGTTGTTACTAGTTTGCTTAAAGTTTTACTTGCATAAAATTTTTGTTTCCATTGGCAAGATCCACATGAAATAAATATACAGTGTGATAAACCTTTTTTAAGTTTAGCATCATGGTTAAAAGTAACATTTGCAGAACATTTTAGACAGCAGCCAATGGTAGTTATTATTTTTTCTAAAATGTTAGTGTTCATAAAAATATAGCAGTCATTGTACTAATCACCATCAGCAGAAAAATTATTTTTATTTACAAAATTATTATTTACAATATCTACAGAAGATTTACTACTAGAACTCGATGACATTATGTTCATTTTTTTTGCTGAGCTACATTTGAATTGTAATCCTTGTAAATTAGATAGATTTTCTTCAGCTACAATATTTGATGTTTTATGTTGGTTTCCTCTGAAAAATCTATATTTTTTGCTATACCTTATTTTATTTGTTTTATCTTTATTTCCCATTATTTTAATAATTATTTAACCAAGGTATGATCCAAGGTAAGAACACAGAGAATAAGCCAAAGATTGATGTGGTTGTTGTTAAGTAATTAGACATATAGTGAAGAAATCCGTTAATAACCATGTAACATACAGCACCAAAAACATTTATTATTAAACAAAAAGTAGTTTTAGAGTAGCAGTTGCTACACATGTAGTTTTTTTATGAATTTTTATGGTATTTTGAAAGATAACTTGCTTTTTAGCTACATAGCAACGGAATAAACAATCCGTTGCTATGGAAAAATTTTAAAAAATACTTTACCGCATTATTAAAAATTGGTTTTTAATAGGGTTAGCTTTAATTTTATATAAAACTAATTCAAAATTCCTAATCTACAATAATTATATTACTTAAAAACTTTAAAACTGAAATAACGATTTTTTTGATTTTTAATAGTGGTCTACCACCTTAACAATACAGTATTAGTCGAACTCATATGCGGGAGTCTGAGTCTAGTCAAAATTGATGCGGGAAAATATTCGTAAGAGCTGCTTTGTTTATAAAGAACATATATATATACATATATATATATATATATATATATATATATATATATATATATATATATATATATATATATATATATATATATATATATATATATATATATATATATATATATATATATATATATATATATATATATATATATATATATATAGATATATATATAGATAGATAGATATATATATAGATATATAATATATAATATATATATATATATATATATATATATATATATATATATATATATATATATATATATATATATATATAGATAGATAGATAGATAGATAGATAGATAGATATATAGATAGATAAATAAGGTTAAAGTACATTGTATAATTGAGATTCTTACATTTAATATAGTTTTACTAAGTATCATAAAAATAGTTTTCAATCAAATTCAAAACTTTCTTAAAAACAAAACATGTTCACTTTCAAGAAAAAAGATTCTGGCTGTCAAAACAGAAAAAATGCGGCAAATAGGACAGCAAATGAGCAAAAAAATAAACGTACGCTCGAAGATTGTGGTATCCAAGTTAAAAAAAATGACGGGGATAGGCCTACAGTTTCCAGATTGATATCTATAAATTCCTCTCAATCACGTCAAGCTTTTGGAATAGTAAGTTCATTTATCTAAACATAACCTTCTTTTTTATATATCTTTTCTATTATACTATTATTATATAAATCAAGATATTTTTGAATATTTTACTTTATTTTCTATAGGATAGCTTTGAAAACGATTCTTGTAAAATTTTGTTGAACTCAGAAGAACCACTTCCTCCTTCGAGTGGCACGTTGGCAATATCGGCAACAAGAGTTGAAAATGAAAACAATATTTTGGTAAAATTTGCTTCGCAAAGATTTTTTAATTATTTTTGTGAATTTGTGAAAATTATATACTTATTAAAATCTTTATTTAAATTATTAGCATAAAGATAAATTGGATGAGGCAATTACTGCAAAGGATCCTGCTTTGTGGGCTGAAAATATGTCTAAAGTAGAACGCGATGCAGTTGTTCTTCAGGGCCCCCTAAAAATCCTTTATCTTTTCCGAGAGACTCAAACAAGATTAAGGTTCCTGAATCAGTTTTCCACGAAATAACTCGTAATGGGGAGAAAATAAACAGAGATTGGCTTGTTTGGAGTGCAACTTCAAAATCATTTCTTTGCTTTCCGTGCTCACTTTTCGGAAGCAAACAAGCCTGCGGGGCTGGTAATAATTCACATCTTCTACGTTGGAATGGTGGCATCAATGGAAACTGGAGAAAGCTAGCTGAAAAAGTAAAAGGCCACCAAAACAATCCTCACCATCGAGACAATTACATTAAGTGGAAAACAGCGCAGGAAAGCTTGGGAAATCAATGTGGGATTGATTCAAGTTTAGAAAAATTGATAAGAAATGAGGCAGCCAGGTGGCGTGAAATTTTAAAGTGCATTTTAGATGTAATTCTCTTCTTAGCATCACGCAACCTTAGCTTCAGAGGTATATTTGTGAACATTAATTATTGTATTTATGTTTACGTTATAATTTATTTTTACTATAATTAAACAGAAAGTCATGATTTATATGTGTAATTAAAATCGATATTTTAGGCTCATCAAAAATGATCGGTGATGACGATAACGGCAACTTTCTTGCAACTCTAGAGCTACTTGCAAAGCACAACAAGACTCTTCAGTTACATCTAGAAGAGGTTTCTCGCTGCCAACAAGAAGGTAAACAAATTATTGCGCATTATTTGGGTTGGAGTTCTCAAAATGAATTTATAAAAGAGTGCGGAAGAATCGTCTACGGTGCCATCATTAAAGAGGCGCATATGGCAATTTACTATTCTATTCTTGTCGATGGAACGCCTGACGTCTCTCATACAGAGCAAATTGCATTTGTTCTCCGCTTTGTCTACTATGGTATTGATAAAAAATGGGTAGTTAAGGAGCGCTTTCTTGGGGTCGAAAGTCTCGATAAAAAGAAAGGTGTGGATATTGCTAAGCTAATTATAGATGTCTTAAATCAAAATGACATTGATCTGAAGAACTGTCGAGGTCAGGGATATGACAACGGTGCTAATATGTCTGGTGTGTACAAAGGAGTACAAGCGATCATTCTTCAGAGAAATCCTCAAGCTTTCTACATGCCATGCAGCACTCATAACCTTAATTTAGCTGGTGTTCATTCACTTGAATCTTTTGTAGAAATGAAGAACTATTTCGGTCGTATTCAGTTACTCTACAATCTTTTTAGTGGAAGCCCTATACGATGGAAAATCTTGACCGAGACAACTGGTTTGTCTCTACATTAAACTTCACAAACCCGATGGAGTGCACGCATTGAGGCTGTGAAGCCTTTGGTTAAGCAACCCAGAGAAATTCTTTTATCTTTGCAGAAACTTCGTGATCTTGATTTAACTGCTGATCTATTGATTGACGTAAAATCTTTAGAGAAATGGATTCAGTCATTTGAGTTTATTATCATGACAACCTTCTGGTTCAAAGCGCTGCAAGCAATAAACTATGTCAGCGTGTCATTTCAATCAGAAAACATTACTTTAGATGATGAGATGAAACTTATGAAGATTCTTATTGAGGATAGACTTAGATCTTCTTGGCCCGAATTAATTAATGAAGCACATTTAGTTACCTCCGGTCTAGCTAGTTATGGGTTTCAGTCAAAACTAGTTCAAAAAAGGACAAGAAAGAGGAAAACTTTTTACAAAGAAACAAGGAACGAAGTTCATTTCTTAGAAAACGATGAAAAACAGTTTGAGGTGAATGTATTCAACACCGCTCTCGATACATTAATTCAACAAATAAAAGACAGATTTCAAGCTGCAGAAAAGACAACTAACAGTTTTTCTTTTCTATGGCTCTCAGAATCTAATAGTAGGTCGAGTGAGGAAAAAGAAATTGAACAACCTAGCCTGGAGGAAAAATGTAAAACTTTGGCGCAAATGTATGTGAACGATGTAGATGAAGACAAACTTATTTTAGAGGTCCGTCATCTGGATACTCTAAAGCGTGCCAATCTTTTCGGTCCAAAAGAATATCTCACTTCAATGAAACTATTAAATGGAATTTATCAAAAAGGTCTAGAGTCTATCTTCGAATCAACATGCATTTTATTACGTATTTTTAACACAATTCCCGTTTCCATCGCCGAAGGAGAGCGGTCTTTCAGCAAGCTTGGTCTAGTCAAGACAACACTAAGATCTACAATGAGTCAAGACCGGCTTACCGATCTCTTAGTTATATATATTGAGCACGATCTAGCAAAAAGTCTGTGCTACGACGAGGTCATTGAAAATTTTGCTTTAAATAAAGCACGGAGAGTCAAATTCTTATAAAGCATTTAAAATATCTATTACATTTAAAATTTACAGTTGCTCGCAATATAATAAAGTTAATTTGTCAACTTTTGCTTCTTTCTTTACCTTTTTTCAAACTTATTTAAAAAATATATAGAAGCCTTCTCGACTGTATTTACCTTCTCGGCCTCTTAAAGCGAGTTTTAAAAAGTAAAACTTAAAAAAAAACTTAGCATTTGGACAGTATCTAAATTTTTTTTGATTAGGTCAATATGACAGGGCGCTAGATAAATTTTGACCCCAGGCGTCATAAAGGGACGCGGCGGGCCTGCATGTATGGATAAAGCAAGGAAAAACAAATCTTTTAGAAATAAAGGCATTCCTTGGTGTTGTTATCAATATGGGTCTAATCAAGAAAGCTAGTATTAAACTATATTGGGATATTAGTCATCCTTGTGCTTCCACTCCCTGGTTTGTTACTCATTTCAATCGTGACCGTTTTCAACTTTTACTTAAATTTATTCACTTTACTGATATCTCTATCCCTAATCAACAGCAACTAAATAGGATTTATAAAGTTCAGTATTTAGTTGAACATTTTAACAAAAAATTTCTCTATTTTTATATTCCTCAAAAAGATATTTCTATAGATGAGAGCATGATTGGTTACAAGGGAAAGACACCACATCTCCGCCAATATATGCCAAACAAGCGTCATTCTCGATTTGGAATAAAATTATGGTGTGTTTCAGACAGCACTAATGGGTATTTATCTCAGTTTGAAATTTACAAGGGAGGAAAAAATCCAGATGAAGCTGTTGTTGCCCATGGTATGACTTACAACTTGGTTTTTCGTCTTTTGCGTCAAGCCAACCTCCTTCATCAAGGTTATCACTTAGGTATTGATAACTATTACACTTCTCCACAACTGCTATTGGATCTATATCTACATCAAACTACAGCAACAGGAACAGTAAGAGTAAACAGAAAAGGTCTGCCAGAAATCTGCCTTAAAACAAAATTAAAAAACAAAGAAGTTTGCCAATATAGAAAAGGTCCTTTGTTATGTGTGGCATATCAAGATGGTAAAAAAAAACCTGTATTACTGTCTACTGTTGCCAAAGCAGGTTTTACTGAATTGCGCAACAGAAGAGGTAGTTTAGTTATGAAGCCAAACGTTGTTGCCCTATATAATCGAACCATGGGAGGGGTAGATTTGGGAGATGCACAGCTCTACATTTACCTGTCAGAGCGTAAGACAATAAAGTGGACTACAAAAGTTGCCTTTTCTTTATTTGGCAGGGCTATTCTTAACAGCTACTTATTGTATAAGCTTAACACTATTGAACATAAGCCTATGTCTAGAATAAGTTTTATGATGGCAGTTGTGGAAAGTTTAGCTGGAGGGTATCAACCAGTAAAAGTAGTATCAAAAAGACGAACATCTAGGGAGATGGAAACGGCAAGAAGTACAATTGTACCATATCCACTTCCTCAACACACAGCAATTAATAATCCTTTATATGGACATAACCTTGTCAAAATTGGTTCAGGAAAAAAAATAAAATGTGTAGCTGGGCACCAAACCCGTGTTCGTACCAGTTGGCAGTGTCAGTCATGTTGTGTTGGACTGTGCCCTGGATGCTTTTCAAATTACCACACAACAGCTATAAATTAAATACATCGCATTTCTTAAATTCTTCTAAAAACTAGAAAAAGAAAACTAAAATTAAAAATAGTTGTTTTGTTTTTTTTTTGTTTTTTTTAGTTCAGTTTCTCCGTACGGTGTTTAAGTTTTATTCCGCGCTCAAAGGGTTAACTTACGGCGTGCCTATCAGTTTATATGGTCGAACGCATAATCTATATTTTTGTATACTATTGTGCAATATTTGCGTGTATTTCTGTGTATTGTTTATATTGTCTAGTGTTTTTATTGTTTTATATTTATACGGTTGCTTAATATTTGCTTTATATTTGTCGCTAATACTCGAGTGATTTCATTTTTTTTTCTCTCACATTAATACTTAAATATTTTTATTTATTTATTTTTTCTTTTCGTTTATTTTTCATCTTCTTTCTCATTAAACGATGTGTTATCTCATTTTTTCACTTTCCCTCGTGTCATCTAATTTACTTTTTCTTTTCTTTTTTTGTTTTGTTTTTTTTTGTTTTTGTTATTAGTCTTACTTTTCTAAATATAATTGTTCTTCTTTTTTTTTTACTTTTTAATTTAGTTTACTATATTTATTATTACTTTTTATTATTATTATTTTTATTATTATTATTATTTTGTAACTCTAATAACTATATGTGTGGCACTGATTTTGTAGAATAATAGTTCAATTTGTAATTTGTTCAACTTTATCGTAAATAAATGGATAATGATTCGCAAGAAACAGTTTAACACAAAAGAAACATCTTTATTTTTTGTTGTGACAAACATTTGGATATAAAACTGTCCCAAATGCCGAACACGAAAAGTCAAACACGAAACATCGATCACAAAATACCGACAAATATCGAACACAAGACATTGTATACAACGCATATTTTAGACCAAATTCGAGCCAGTGACCAAATTCCAGCCACATTTTAAATTCATTATTTCTGTCTTAGTTTCTGCTTTATGTTTGTAAATGCGACTGGCATGAACTCACCCAATAAAAAGGACACATTATTTTAGTTGGTGTTTATAATTCCAGGTGTTTATAATAGAAGTTACATCATAACAAATATTTATCTCAAAAAAGTACTACTTTAGATTTAAAATATCATGTAAGCATCCAACTCGAGGTAAGTATGTGAAATATAAATAGGAAGTGTTACTTGAAGCTATAAAGTGTTATTAGTTCACCTAAAATGTCTGTTAGAGCTGCTGCTAAATTTTTTAAAGTACCCCGAGCAACTTTGCAAAGCTGGATAAATGGAAAAGTTGAGATTGGTGCAAAAGCAGCAAGAAAAAGTTTTTAAAAAGAAAAATTCTTGGTATATGCTGGCAAGCTTGCAAAAAAATATGGCTATTCTTTTAAGAATGGCAAATCATCTAATAAATGGTGGCGACTACTTACCAATCGACATAACAAAAAATAAAGGTGGTAAATCATTTTACTGCACAAAAGGAAGTCATTTATAATAATAGGCCAGTTTTACAGGAATTTTAACCAAAGCCTAGAATAAATGACAAAAGCTAATATTGAATCTGGCTTTAAATCATAAAGATTCTTTCCATATAATCCTTCGATTATTCCGGCTGAAGCTTACATGCCAATCTATGTGTATTCTGAAGACAGGTTAATGACTAATCTCTTTGATCAAATTAAAACAAATGATAATACAACAACAGTTGAGCAGATTAATCAAACAACAGATAACACAAAAGTACTTTTACCAGATATTGAGTTGGAACAACTTCTAATTACCAACCCACGATTTGCTGTAGCAAATGATCATGACTATTTAGCTGAACCGATAACTATATTAGAACATAGCAGTGATGGTTTAGTGGAACTAAGTATGAAAACTATAGAACTAAAAGCTGCAAATAATAAAGCTGTTAGTAAGTTTCAAGACAGTTTTAGGATTATGTCTTACTCTGAAATTGAACAGCCTATTGATCAGTAAGAAATTGATTTTACAGTTTTAACTCTTTTAGCTTCTGATTTTGTAAAAACTAGATCTTTTGCCCCAAATTTCCCTTTTAAAAATTCATCTTATTCAGGAGGTGGAGATAATAATATTTTGCCATATTCAGATCCAAATTTTACAAAGAGCAAAAAAGCTAAGAATGCAGACAAGTTTTTTGTGCTTACTTCTAAGGAAGCAAATGAGTCACAATTAAAGCAGAAGCAAAAACAAGCTCAAAATGAAAAGGAAAAAGAATTGCGTAAATTGAAAAGACTACAAAACTTAAAAATAAAGGAAGCAACGGTATTGTCAAAAAATAATCCTAGAAAAAACCGTTCCTATAAAAATGAACCAATAAAAGTATAAAAAAACAATGCGTGATTTGATTATGTTGTTGTGAGTTTTTGTTCTTAGTGTTTAAAAAAGTCTTTTATAGAGTTCACTGAATTCTTTTTTTTTTAAATGTGAATATTATATTCTATGCAAATCTTTTAAAATAGTAATATAGATTATTACATTGACATTAATTATCCTGATTTACATAATAATTCTTATTTAAAATATTAAACCTAGTTTTGTGTTTGGTTTTTATTTACATTAAAAAATATTTCCTTCTATTTTTTACCAACACGTATACGTTTTTTTTTTCTTGCCATGGACAAGGTGGTGCAACTCAGTTCCTGAGAACATATTTTTTTTGGGGTTTAGGCATCCTTATTAAGTTTTGGAAAGTTCATTTGTAGATGAATGCTTAGCATTAAGTTAAGCGATCATTTTCTAACTGATGTTTAAGAACATGTTCATTTTAACTTTAAACTAAACAAACTTTAAATCCAATTTTACAAAAACTGTTTGACATTTGTTTAGCTGTCAACCGACTAAAATTATAGGATTAAAAAAATTAATTAATCAATATTTAGTAATACAATTAGTTTTTAAATATTTTTAATGCCAACCCATAAAAGTATTGGTAAAAAGCTTGTTATTTATATTGGCTGTAATTAGGTTCGTTCCGCATATGCCTGGCTGAAATTTGGTCATAGTGGCTTTATTTTGGTCAAATTTATATACTTTTTGTTATCGTTGTTATTTCAAACATTTTTTATTTATAGGTACTGCTGTAATTATATCCTAAATGCTAAAAGGTTTATCTTTCTAGAAATGTATAATTTTCATACAGACCTTTTTGTTACTATGTCTGTAGAAACAATTTTGTAAAGATCCGGCTGAAATTTGGTCACTTTACCCTAACCTGTTAACATACCAGACTTTAATAGGTGTTTTTCCAAATAAGAAAACTTTATTGTACTAAACACACACAATTTTATTATTAAAATTGTTCCCAATTTTTATTTTATTTTTTCTTCTGCTCATTTCTTAAACTATCCATTGTTTTATAAATCTGTTTTGGTAACACATTGAACTTTTAAAACTTATTTCTTAAACTATCCATTTCTTAAACTATCTATTTCTTAAACTATCCATTTTTTTACAAATCTGTTTCGGCAACATTAAACTTTTAACACTAATAAAATGGTTAATTATAAATAAACTTTCAATTAATTTAATTAAAACTAAGTATAGTATTTTTCATCGCGTCCATAAAAAAGATAAAATCCCTCCTGCACTTCCAAAACTTATTATTAGAGTATACATTTTTAGGTGTAATTCTAATTAAAAACATAAATTGGAACGATCACATAAATATGATTGAAAATCAAATTTCTAAAAATATCAGATTACTCTATAAAACAAAACCATACTTAGATCAATCATGTTTAAAATACATATATTATTCATTTATTTATTCCTATCTTAATTATAGAAACATTGCTTGGTGCAGCACCAATAAAACAAAGATAAAAAAGCTATTTATCAAACAAAAACATGCAATTAGATTATTATCAAATGCACACCGCCTCTCACATTCAAAACTATTGTTTAACAATCTAGAAATATTAAATTTGTACCAAATAAATATATATCTTCTTCTAATTTTTATGTATAAAATTAATAATAATTCAATGACAAATATCTTTAAACCATTATTTAATAAAATTCAACACAAATACATGACTAAATATTCAAGTAACAACTTTGTTCAACCAAAAACTATATATGAGTCCACCAAGTTTTCAATAACTATTAGAGGACCTAATGTATGGAATAAGATAATTGTTAATGATATTAAAACATTTTCAACTCTTGAACTGTTTAAAAAAAAACTAAAACTTTTACTTTTAAATAATGAACAGAGTATTATTTTTAAGATTATTTATAAAAATATTATATTTGAAAATTATCTACTAATGCATGCATTTTTTTCTGGAAAGGCTAAAAATCTTATATACATTATTTATATAATGTATATAATTCGATGCAGTCAATTATATTATAAAAAAGTAATTACAAAGATTTACAGCATTTATAGATTTTAATAAAGATAATTTTATTTTTTTTTTTTTTTTTCTTAAATGAGAGAGAGAGGGAAAAAAAAAGTAACCTACTTTGAATTTGTGTTTTTCTTATTTTTGGTATTAATCTTTTTTTAATTTCATTTTGTTGAATAAATATTTTTGATTATAAACTTATATATATAGTATTTTATGATTGTAAATTAACTTTTATATTTTCTTTTTTCATGTTTTTTTTTTTGTTGGCTTTTGTTTTCTTCAATAAATTGTTGAAACTTTCCTTTTTAATATATATATATTAAAAAGGAAAGTTTCAACAATTTATTGAAGAAAACAAAAGCCAACAAAAAAATATATATATATATATAGCATTGCATGATCGTAAGTTAACCTTCATGTTGTTGTAAATTACTTCTTTAACTTTTATTAAAAATAACTTTGATGATTAAACTTTTAATAAAAATAACTTTGAAAGATTCGATTGAACTATTTAAAAAAATAACTTTGACTCTATTATTTTGCATTTTATATAAACTTAACTGAAACATTTTGCTTTTTTCATTTTAATTGCGACCAGTGGCGGAACTTCAAAATTTGGGCCCCCCCCCGCAAAAGAATGTTTTTTTTGCGGAAAAGAGTTTTATAGTATAAATATTATTGAGAGTATAACTTTTTTTATATGAGGGCCCCCTATAGCTGGTAGGCCCCCCCGCAACGCAGGGTCCTGCGTCCAGTAGTTCCGCCACTGACTGCAACGTATTTATATAAATGTCTAGAAAAAACATGGGACTTGGTGATAAGACAAACATCTTCTTCTCGTCCTTGCCATATATTGTAAAACACGGAACTTGTAAATATTTGTACGACTAAAATAAAATGATTTAAAAAAAAAAATCAAAGTGACAATTTATAATTTATAACTTCATCCAAACATTTAACATCAAAACTCTCATTTACTTCTGTTTTTCAACATTAAATTCGTAAACTTATGAATAGTTGTTAATAGTAACTTCTTTTGACTTTATGGAAATTATACAGATATCGGTTTTTATACATAAGTAACGAAACGAAAATGTAATAATGTAACACTGCTACTTATTTCTTTACTCGCATAAAAAATTTAAACCATTTTTGGCACGTCTTTATAATGACTTGCTTATTACATCATTAATTAATAAAAATTTTCAATTTTTTTTTTTCAGCGCTAACTCTATTCAACATGGTTACCGTTTTGATTGTTATTGTAACATCTGACGTTTTTACTTAACAAGCGATCGTTCAATATGAATTTTTTTTTACAAATAATTTAAAACTTTAAAGTATTTGACATATTAACAAACCACAAACTTAAATAGAAGGCTCGATAGCCTGTCGAGTATCGTCATGGAAAAAAAATATATATATATATTTATTTCAATAAAACGTTATTAAATAAAATTTGAGTTTATTAAATAAAATTATCGAGTCAATAATAAATGGTAGAATAATGAAGTCAAAGTTCATACAAAGACATTTACTTTTTCTGAAAACTTTTGTTTGAGCTCGCGAATATATTCTGAACATTTTTGTACATCCTGGAGACCTTCATTTTTTGTGTTCACAAGTAGTTTTATTCAATTAAAATATTTTTAAGCTCAATAATTATTTAAAAAATAAAAAGTTAATGATATGGAAATTTATAAATAACTCATAAAAAAACAAATAAGAATTAAAAAAAAAAGCTTAACTAGTATACAACTGTAATCACTATGTTTCATAATGGAAAGTTGTTTGGTACACTAATTTAATTGAATTTTTTTGTTTATTTGTTAACTGTTTAAACGTAGTTTGTATCAATGCTAAGTCTATGATTTTTGTCACGATTTTTGTTATTTTCAATCTCAAATTAAAAAAGTTTATTTAATAGAACCTAAATAGAACATGTTTAATTTTGGATAGTTTTACATATTAAAAGTGGGCATATCCTGATTCCTCCTTTAATTATAACAAATATTTATTTTTGATTTCGAAGTTTCATTGAGGCGATCAAAAACATTTTGTCTGTTTGTTTGTAAGCTTGTCTTTTGTTTCTAATACTGATCCCATTTTAAATTGTTTGCTGTTGGTTTATGTGGAAAAGAAAAGACAAAGATATTTTGTTTTAAACCTTAACATCGTGTTACAATGAAGTTTATTGAATAACAATAAAAAGGTAAAAATTTAACATTAAGATTTATTTGGAAAAATATTCTTTTAGGAGCCAATATTGTACATCAGCATGGCGCAATTTTTATGTATTCCAATAAATAAATTACTTTTTGTATAAATGTTAAACAAAATATTTGTTTGAGTAAAGTATAGTAAAGTATAAGATATATTTAGCTTTGGAATATGCAGGATTTGAATGGCTTGAACTCCATTACAAATTTTTTCTGTTCCTCATATTTTAAAGTGAGATTTTCATTTCAGAGCCCTATTTCCTTTTTGGATTTTTAGTAATCGATTGTATTATGCTTTAAATTTAAAAAAAAAAAGTAATATAAAAGGAATAAGGAGGGTCTTTAAGCCAGATAGCCTCCTCCTGCTATTATGATTAAAAAAACCTTTTGTAAAACAAATATTAAATACAGTTTGCTTTGCAAAGTAAAATACAAATAATAAAAAAAAAATTTTTAGTTTAAATAATAAAAGAAATTTGAACTTTGATTTTAATTAATAACTTTTTCAAAACAGGCCCGTAGCAAACGGATGAGGGGGAAGCTGGGGCATTTGCGCCCCTCCCCCAATAATTTTTCAAATAAATAATTTTGATGTTAGTTTTTAGAAAAAGGCAAACGATTACAAATTAAGAAATAAAAGAAAAAAGAATAGAAAGAATCTAATTTGTTATCTGTTTTTTTTTTTTTGCGTAAATTCCTTTGACAAAAAAATTTGACCTACTACTATTTGACCTATCCAGTAGTACTGACCCCCCCTCATCCCAAATTAAGTTTTGTTCCTACAAGCCTTTATAGTCTAATAGCAGTAGTCTTTGATAATCCAAATATGCTTAAAAATATGCTTAAAATAACATATAAATATATAACATAAACATAAATATAACAGATATATAACATCTATGAATAAATATTTGATGCATAAAATGTGATCTTTCTATTTCTTTTAATTTTTTATAGAAAAAAAAGTGCAAATGTTTGCTATAACGACTAACAAGTACATGTTAAAGTAAATGTTGAAAACATTCACATATCTTCAAATTAATCAAATTAAGTTCATTTTTTTTTTTTTTTTTTTTTTTTTTTTTGACTAACTCTAGTGTTAATGTACTCCAAAACGTGATCAGATAGGTAGCTTACATTTTTAAAAAAAAAAAAACTTTTGTTTTTTTCCGACGCGCTTTTTGCTGAAAATATAAGTACAATAAGTCTGAATATAAGTACAATATACAATAAGTACAAGTCTGTTCTTTGACGGAATCCACCCACTTTTTTTTTTACATCAAATTTCACGGCGAGCTTCTACTAAAACTTCTTTCTTTATCTTTTACTCTATTTTTATATATAAATAAAGCAAAATAAAAAAGTTATAATACAGTTTATTGTAAATCTCATAAAAAAGTGGTCAAATATCTTCGATCAGTTTTACTGAGATGAAATTGGTTTATTGTGTTTATCAATAAAGCTTTGATCAAACATTGAAGAAATAAACTTGTTTTATTTACTAAAATGCTAAAATTATTTTTTTCCTTTATTTTTATTTTTTTTATATATAAATTTTATAAAAATTAGGTAAAATTTAATCTGAGCTATCAATTAATGATAACGACTGCGGCCAGTAAGACTGTGGCGAGTAATACGCAATACAGACTGCGGCAAGTAATACGCAAGTTTACAGTTATAGTAGAAATTTATTTCAATCTTCATTTAATTTGAACTGACAATTTCTAAGAATACTGCAATATATATTTCGCTTGATTATCTGTTAAGTGATCGGTTATTTGATGCAGATGTTGCTTTTTTTTTTATTTCAGTCAACATGACTACATCTTGTTAATACCTTAGAGTGTATACAATTTTTAATTCTTAGTTTATAATTATAAATAAATACAATAAGGAAAGTTGCACAGGCATAGTAATCAGAGATTTATAAAAAAAAAGAATTGCAAAATTTGAGAAAAACAATAGTCTGAGTGCGTGCGTGCTAAAAGCATATGGCGTAAACTGCTGCAGATAAACAAACATACGGCGTCGTAAGTTTGTTCTTGCAAATATTACTCTAAATCGATCCGTTAAACAAAACATTTACTAAACGTAGTTTTTGATTAATTAACACATAGTGTGTTTCATGATCTGATATTTTTCTGTTGTTTCAATGTAGCTAATGTTGCTTTTTTTAAAAGATGTACGCACAAAAAAGGTTTTAGAAACAAATATTTTGTCTCGACAATAAATTTTGGAATAACCTTTTATTTTAAAATAACAAAAATTTTATTAAAAAAAGAAATAAATTATATTCAAAAATAAAGTTTAAACAAAAAAAAAAGCAACTCAGTTTTCTTTTTAACAATTCTCCACACTATTTAATTTTAAAATAATTTTTTTATATAAAATTTTTTCTATATAAATATATATATATATATTTTAAATAAATTATAAAAATTTGATAATATGATCGATTACTTTTTGATTTATAAGTAAACATGGCAACAACTATTGGAAAGTGGATAATTATTGTGGCATGCACAGTCTCGGTTGTTGTTGGTCTCGCAGGAAACTTTCTCATTATTCTTATTAGAATAGTCGACCCAATAAAACGAAAAAATATAACTGCTTACACCTATCTAGTTTGCCAACTGGGTGTTGCTGATTTTTTGTTTGCATTTACACTGGCATTTGAAATTCCTGTTTTACTAAAAAACGATCATTGGGAGTTTGGACTCGGTCTTTGTAAGTTTGTTAGAACGTTACAGTCCACAAGTCTTACAACAACCATAGGGTTTTTAATGTTGATGGCATATGAACGTTATCTTGGAATTTCCAATCCTTTGGGGCATAGGTGGTCTATCAAAAAAACAACTTTTTTAGCCATTGGAATTTGGATATATATAATTGTAACTATGATTCCATATTTTTTAGCTTTAAGCATTTCACATAATGAATGCTATGACGTGGATTATTCATTGCCAAATTTTAGTAAGGGATACACACTATTCTTGTTTGCGACAAATTATGTTTTGCCTTTACTTTTTATAATTTTTTTTCATACTTTGATTGTAAAAAGACTGAATGTACATATTAAAAAAATGGCACCTCATACAAACCGATCCATAAAACGCAAAAAGAACGAAAAGAAACCCCTAAAACGAAATAGTAGCTGTAATCTAAGTGATTCAAGCATAAGAAGAAATAACTATGGCAACAAACATTGTGATTTTGCAGACCTAAATGATTTTACAGAACTAAATGATTACAACGAAACCCCTAAAATATCTAAAAAAAACAACCTATTTGAGCAGAAAAGCATTTTTAATAATAACTGTAATGATAACAATGTTAGCAACGATGTATTAACCATCAATAAGAATAACAACACAACCAGCCAGAAAAATAACAACACAAACAGCCAGAAAAATAACAACACAACCAGCCAGAAAAACTCTGAAATTAGCTATAGTGACAACGTGTTTCGTAATGATGATTTAACGTATCGTAACTGCACGAAAAAAAAAATTACAAGTTCTTTACTGTCATCCTTTTCCAAAAGTTTATTTTGCCATAAAAAACACACAACTAGCAACAATAAAGTCATTAGAATGTTGCTTGCAGTCACACTATGTTTTTCATTAATGACATTGCCTACTCAAATATGGCAAATTTGGGATACATTCTCTGTTGAACAGAACATAACTAAAAAAGAAAAGTTACACGTAATTGAAGTTTTTACAAGTCTCACATATCTACACTGTTGCTCTAACTGCATTATTTATAGCGTAATGGATCAAAGATTTCGAAAAGATGTCTCAGTCTTAGTTATGTCAGTGTTTAGAAAAAAGTTGCGATCTACAACTCTTTATTCAAGGGTTTCAACCACATTTAGTCACATGTCTATTAAAAGACTTTATTCTAATGGAGCTCAAAATGAGTGTAAAGAACAGTTGGTTGTCATTGAAAAAGAAACCGTCTTTGATTAACAATTGTTAAAAATAAACAACAGCAACTATTTTCATGTTGGAAGTTAAATTTCCGTGAAGTCGTGTAAAATATTGTAAATATTAGACATAATTTATTCAGAAAGTAAATTATTTACTTAAGCGATTTTTAATTATTGAAAATGTTTAATTAAAGATAAACATTTATTGCTAGAGAAATTGAGTAAATAATAAAAAAATTAAATGATAAAGTTTTTAATAACTTCATTTAGAAAAATCATTTAAACTTAAAAAAAAAAAGGAAAAAATAAACAAATTTATAGGAATGATATACTGGAAGAAAAGATACTGGAAGAAAAAAAAAAAAAAAAACATGGCCATAATATACTTTAGTGTGTTTTTATTAAATTTCTATTATATAATTTATTTTTTAAGCAAATAATCTGAAAAACATTTTCATTTCTAATTAGTTTTGGCTGAAAATCTTTTTGAATAACTTTGTTTATTTTTACTGAAAGATTATCAAACAAATAACTAAAAATCTAAAATGGTGCACTAATTCAACAAAAATTTGGCGCAATATGTTTAATTAAAAATAGCTTTGTAAAAATGCTTTTCTTTTACAATTTTTTTTTTTTAGATATCTTTTATTTTTGTACATTAAAATTTTTTATAATACACAACAATAAACACATATAAACTTTGTTCTGCTCTAAATCACGTGATCTCTTGTTTTCAAAATTAAAAAAATAGATCACGTGATGTCATTCAATACTATTCCAATTAGTCGGGCAGAGCAAATTGTGTGGATCATATAAATCGTACACGGCAGAGCGGGTTTTCAGTTGTTAATCGGCTAATTTAACATGAGATCTACCGAATTTTCGATTTAAACAAAAAAGTTGCAAATCGAAAGTCTAGAAAAATAGTTTAGAGGCTTTAGTCTTGTCCACAAATTGAAATAAATGATTTGTGCAATTTTCGCATACAATGTGTTTCATTGAAGGGTGTAAATAGTGCATCGCTAATAATTTTATTATATATAACAATAGTATATGCACTGCTAACATAAAAAAACAACCTTCGAGTTATATAAGGGGACCTCCCAAATTCTAATAAAATTTAAAAGTGACAAAAAATTGTGTTGAATTATAAATAATCTAATACAAATTTGAGAGAAAAACTTATAAAATTTTTAAAATTTTAAGTTTTTATATTTTAAAGAAAATTTTTTTTTTGCAGTTGACAAAATTCTTTCATCTTATCTCATACATAAAAATTTATTTTAAAAATATTCAGAAAAACGTTTTTTATCTACATATGGCCCATTTGTAAATTGCGTGCTTATTAATCTTGTATTCTATAAAAAGTACGTTAGATAGACCTGCACAAGATGAATGTATTTTGATCTATATTATATTTTAACCGTACTTTTTGTACTTTTTTCTTACGAAAGTAATGCAACAGACCAGATTACAATCAATAGACCACTGGTGGACTGATGGATTACAATCAACAGACCACTGTAGATGATAAATGTTTTTTTTTCACATTTTGTCTATTAATACAGAGTGTTTTGATGCAAGTGGTTGAATCGGTTATATCGAACCTTCACAGGTCACTCTTCTCTCTGTAGTTCTTAGCCGCTATGGAAGTGTAACAACAAATAAATTTGATTGGTGAAAAGCATTTGGTGTAGTCAAGTAACTTTGTCCAGTGAGGCAACAATCTTTTTTCTGGAGTTAAACAGATCTAAAATTTGTCTTGTAGGAGTTCCATTATGAAATTTTGTACTTCCATAATACATAAAATGAAAAGTCATAAGTGCACTGTTTTGTAATTGTCATAATTGTGTACAGGGCTATTAGAATGATCATTTTATCCATTTTTCCCTTGTTTTTTTGTTGACTTTCACATATCTAAGAGATTCTTGTCTTTGTCGCCTGATCAAACTTATTATATATTCTTTTCCAAAGTCGTGGCGCAGTGATAGTGCACTTGTCTTAGAAACAAAGGATCCGTGGTTCAAACCCCACCTCTGGGCAAGTTTTGCAACATCGGATAGGAAGAGGTGTGAACTTCCAATTAAATGCTCATCCTCAGTGGTTTTTGATAAGACCGTAAGGACTTCTTGTGGCACCTAAATAGAATAAAATAAAAAATTAAAAAAAATAGAAAGAGTGATTAATAATTATCAATGGCTCTCATAATACATTCTGCACTACGCATTCAACTACGCATTCAACTTTTTTATCTTCTTGTGAAATGTTTCTTCATTTTTTTGGATGGTTCAGAGCTCGATGTTTTTATTAATGTTTCCGAGCAAATGTTTTCGTTTTGGTGAAAACCTTACTAGTACAAATTAAACGAATTTAAAAAACTTTTAAAATTTAGTACTAAGCTTGAGCAGGCCATTTTACTAAAAAAATTAAAATGTATAGTCTTGAGCGGTATCTGTATTTATTAAAGAACAGATGTGTTATTCTGTTACCAACAAGTTTTTTTTTTTTTACAAAATGGCTTTTGGAAGTGGCCGCAACGTGAGTTGAGTTTGGTTTTGTTGTTGTGCTGCTTTAATGTTTTCTGAATATTTAAAGGAAAATATATTTAATTAAGTTGGTTAAAGAATAACTGAATATGCATAACGATCATATTTTAGTCATTAGATAGCATTACACCTGCAACATTTCACAACCACGCAAGATCTCCATTTCAATTAACATTGTCAAAAATTGTCAATATGTAATTGACAATTTTTTTTTTTTTTGCTTTGTAGTTTTTCATGTTATAAGTAACAACAATAAATTTTGTAAACACCTATTTGAATTCAAAACTTGTATAAAAACATATGTACACATAAAAGCACAAATGCAAACTTTGTTGCAAATGTAAAAAAGTTTTTTTGTATATTTTTTCCACTTTGGGAATTATGCATTCAAGAAAAATACTGTTATTTATTGCTTTGTAGATCGCTTGGTTTTCATTGAAAAAGAAACCGTGTTGGATTAACAATTGTTTCAACGTTTAGTTTAGCAGCAGTCAATATTTGGGTGATTTTCAACAGATTAGTTTATATATATATATATATATATATATATATATATATATATATATATATACATATTTTTTTGACTGCAAAAAAGAAAGAAAAAAAAAGGAAACTAATCATGTAAGATAAAAATTGCGCATTTAAATTTTTTCATGATTGGACGATTTTTCTTTTTTCTTCCACTGAAATTTTCTATTAATTGGAAAATCCGCATTAAACCACGTTAAGATCCGTGGAAACATATTTGCTTTAGTAGATTAAAATTAAATGAAGAGGAAATTTTACTTGTCTAACTTCCCGAACTTACACAAAAAAAGTCATACGAATTATTGTCTTGCAAAATTAAAAATTGTTTTCAGATGAACCATACAATAAATGATAACTCGATATCATTTAAACTTGGACTTCTTCACACTTATATTTTCAATAGACCATTATTATCTTTAGATTAGTTATTTTTTGTATAATGTTCGCTTTTGAACAAAAACTTTTTTTGCTAAATTAATAATTTCCATTGCCTTATTTTAGCTACTGTGTTTTTATTGTTATAACAAATACTTTCAAAAAAGTATTTAAAATAGAAAAACAAATACTTGGTCAAAATATATTTAAAAGCGAAAAATAAATACTTGGTCAAAAAAGTATTTAAAATACAAATACAAAATACAATCTAGCAAAAGTATGTAAATACAAAATTTTCAACATAAAAGTTTATATATAAAAGTTTATATAAATATATATAAGTATTTAAAATAAAAAATACTTTTTGAATTCTTGAAAGAAAATGTATGCTAATGTTTAAAATGTATCCTATTAAATATATATATTTTGGAACAAGCATCACAAGTTTCTTACGTTGCTGAACTGTTGGCATGGGAAATTCTAGAAAACAAATAGTTTACCCTTGAGTTTTGTCCAGATCATTAGAAATAAGTTTTATAAATTGTTTGTATTTTTCAAATAGCCCTAACTCCACCAGGGGCGGGTTTTGTCACTCGCAAAGGAGGGGACAAAAAAGTCTTTAAAAAAAAAAAAGTCCCTGTATTTTTATTTAGAAGTAACATTCTTCTTTCATGAGGTAGTTGCCCCTCCCCTTCCCCCATCCTTTTACTTTTTTTGAAAAATAATGTTTTGTAAATTGACTATTATACTGACGAATTGACTATTGTACGTAGTTATACCTATATGAACTTGATTATTACACTAAAGTACTTTAGTGTAATAATCAAGTTCATATAGGTACAGCTGCGAAAAATAAAATAGCACCACCACCAAAAATTGGTTAAAATTAGAAATTTTAACTATTTTTGATGGTTTAAAAATCTTTTAAATACATATTTAAAAGTAAAATGGCTTATAATTTTTATAAAAAACAAAATATACAAGTTTTAATATATAGTATTCATTTATTAAACAAAAATTCAAAAAAAAAATAAAATAAAACGCGAAAAAAATAATATCACCACAGCTTTAATGTGAACTTTAAAATAAGAAAATATTATGAGATCAATTGTTTTAAACATTTTACAATAAATATTAGTTATTTCTTAACATATTAGTATTTTGTAAGTGACCTTTATTGGCAATAACGGCTACACAAAGTCTTGGCATCGAGTTAACCAAGTCCTGACATTGCTTTAGCGGAATTTCACTCCATGTCTCCTTAACTACGTTCCAAAGTGACTCCTTCGTGGTGGGTTTGGCAGCAGCAACCACCTCCTTTACGTCAGCCCTCAAATTCTCGATTGGTTTAAGATCTGGCAACTGTACTGGCCACTCCGTAACGTTCACTTTATGCTCCTTAAACCAATTCTTTGCCTTCTTGCTAGTGTGCTTTGGTTCATTGTCCTGTTGGAACACCCAGGACAACGGTATTTCATAGTCTGCATACGGCAACATCACTTTGTCCAATATATTAACATAAACGTGTTGGTCCATTATAGTAGTAATGTGATGAATAAACCTTACTCCGTAATAAGAAAAGCATGCCCATATCATTATACTACAACCTCCATGTTTAATAGTTTTGATGGTTTATTTTGGACGGTATTCTGCATTCTGTGGTCTTCTGACATACGCCCGGAAGCCTTTTCCGCTAAAAGCACAACCTTAC